GAACTCACAAGTGTTGATTGTTGAAGAAAGCGTCCAAAAGTGTGAATTTGACCCTAAATGTTGTATGAATCTTTCCTTGTGTTTAAAAGTTAATTTCTGCCATCAAAAGTGAGTTTAAGTGTCAATTTCATTACTTTGCTTCCTATTGTTTTAAGAACCTTTGTTTATCCTTTACCTTTCTTTGTTAGCCAATACCCTTAGCCCCATTACAACCCTCAACTTCTATCTTGATGTTATGTGTTCAATATGTGGAGTTTGAATTTGGTATGAGCATATGGAATCACTAGTTCTCATTCTATGTAGTAGCATTTCATTCATGAGATCATATACATATCATTGTTATACTTCCAGAAAATGCTTTCTTTGTTATAACATATGTGAGTGTTAGTCTCCATGTTTAAATCAATCTTCTCACATATACCTAGTGTAGGGAGTGTAGTTAGAAAATCTGTGTGAAAATAGAGAGTATTCTAGTGAGGAATTGAGGAAATTCTCTAAGGCATGTTACTACTTCCAAAACGTTGTTTTAATTGATTAAATGTGAACTAGTAAGTGGTAAGTATGGTTAAGTGTTTGCTCAAGTGTAAAGAAAGCTAAAAACCGTGGGAATGATGTTTTTTAATGTGTCATGTTCATTGGAAATCCCTAAGGTACATGTTGGAAGGTCTAGAGTTTGTTTTGTTTGTTTTCTTTTGTTTCTTTTGTTTTGTTTTGCTCGAGGACTAGCAAAAGCTAAGTGTGGGGGAATTTGATAGGAGCATATTTAGGTGACTTAGTTAGCTTGTTTTCTTACATTTAGGTTTTTAGTTCATAGTTATTTTAGTATTTTAAGCTATTTTCGTGTGTTTACAAGTTCATATGGCTAAGGAAGAAAAAAGGTGCATTTTGGAGCCTTTTAGAGCAAAATTGGACTTGGAATGGATAGTGCTTGGAGCAAAAGGAATGGACGGAATTGAAGACCTAAAGGTGTTAGGATTCCTAATCAAAGAAGGATTCCTAATCAAAGGAGGATTCCTAGTCAAAGAAGGTTTCCTACTTGAAGTAGGAAAGTTAAGCCAAGGTTTCCTATTTTGGTTTGACCTTTCCTAATCCTGAAAGCCCTATGTTCTAGCAACATTAAAGGATTCTCATGCATTTTAGGACACAAACCAAGCCTTCCTTGCAACCTAATTGCCCTTGCCGTGCATTCCATAGACTTCCCTTTCATTGCCGTGCAAGGGAAATGCATATTTCCTATTTTGTGTCACAAGATTACATTCCTTTTTCATCCCATTCTCAGCCGCACCTTACATACCTATTCTATCCTAAATCCTTGCCTAATTTCAGCCTTAAAACACATTCCTTTTCTTACAATTTATTACCGCAAGTTTCTTTCCCTTTCCCTTAGAATTTCTGACTTTATGTCTCCTTTTCCTTGTGGATTTGGGGTCTAATCCTTTCCTAAACTATGTAATAAAAGTTAGGATTCCTTCCTTCAAATAAATACCCAAAGCCGCACCCTTATTCAACCCTAATCACTCATCCATACAATCTGCCATCCTTCACCCTGTCTCCCAACCTTTGCCGCATCTTTCAACCTTTCTTCCACCATTCACAAACTTCCATACCTTTACCCAAACACCCATACATCATCCCTAACCTTTGCCGCACCACCCTACCAACCTAAATCCATTCACAACCCAGAAATCCATCCAAAATCACCCAAGAACTCTTGTGCCGCAGCTTTGCAAGGAAGAATAAGAGAATAAGAAGCCTTGGATGTTTGTGCATTCAAGTTAGAGTGTTGGAACGTTTTTAGGTGTAATCTATCTTTTGTTTTCAATGTTTAATTCAAGTTTTCTTTGTTTTGTTGTGAACATGAGAGGCTAAACTCGTTTTAGCTAGGGGAGGCTCTGAAACCATGATTATGTTTATGATATGAGTTGATTAATTCCAGTTGTGATTTCATAAATTGTGAATGTAATTTACTTAACCGTTTGATGGATAACTTATTCTTGTATGTTGATTAGGGAGGCCTACTTAATTTGCATGCTTGAATTTGGTGCTAGAATATAAGGGAGTTTCACATAATCGTTACAAACTTATATTCACAAGTAGTTAAGGTTGTTTTCACAATTATGTTAAGTAAATTCCTAGCATGAGTATCATGATGTCATAGTTACAAGTGCTTTGTCAATACTTATGATTTTCATTGAACGTAATGATCTTTGATTGTATCTCTATTATGATGTCATGTAGGGAACTTTTGAAGAATGCTTTGGGTTGTCGTATGATGTCATCCAATCCAATAACTAAAGGAAAATCTGAGGGTTAATTAGTGATGTCACGGTTAATCTGGAGTGTTGAGGTTCATGGTTTATCCAAAAAGCAACTGGAAATCAATTTGTGTTTGAATGTATTATGTGTGGAAAAGTATCCTCTAGCTATCTAATCATCCATCGTTTTTCTCAAATTTGTCCAAATTGCATTTAAGTCTTTTAGTTACTTGTTTTTCTCTTAAATTTGTCCAAAAACCCAATCCTCTTACTTACTTGTTTCAAATCTGTTCTAAAGTGTGTTTTTGAGTCTTTTGAGTCAAAACCAATTCTATTTTCGTCCAAATTGAGTCCTAGAGTCTAGATTGAGTCTTGTTGATTGTTTTGTGTTGTTTTGAGTCTTTTAAGTTTGTTTTGAGTCATATAAGTTTAGTTAAGAGTCTTTAAGTTTGTTTAAGTATTTTTAAGCATATTTTTGTATATTTGAGTCAGTTTTCATTAGATTAGCAATCCCTCCTAATCTCCAGCCTAGAACGATCCCTACTTATATCTATACTACAATTGTCAAAAAGAGGGTTTAATTTGAGTGTTATTATGTACCACATCGTATATAGCAAGTAGATGACCTGGGTCTTTATCTTGGAATTCCCTCAAACTGAGGCAGGTCTAAATGCCATGCACTCGCATTTGTTAAGGGCTGGATTCTAGGAAAGCTTCAAGGATGGAAGCAGAACCTTCTCTCCCCGGTTGGCAAAGAAGTTCTTATTAAAGTGGTGGCCTAAGCAATTTTGACTTACCCGATGAATATCTTCAAGTTATCAGTCTCCCTTTGTAAAGATCTCGACTCATGCTTACCCATTTTGGGTGGGGTCAGAACAATGCGGAACGCAAGATTTCATTTAGTTGGGTGGGAAAATTTGGGTTATCCAAAGAGTGATGAGGGTTTGGGGGTTTCGGTCTTTCAGGAATTTAAACTTAGCACTCCTAGCTAAACAATGTTGGAGGACAATTTATGAGCTTGATGCCCTACGAGTGTTGTTTTTGAAGGCTCGATATTTCCCCCATATTTCACCTTGGGCTTGGGCGAGCCTTCTTATGGGCCAGAATATCATTATGGGATGAGCCCATTGGTAGGTCATGAATGGGAAGAATATTAAACTCTGGGTGGACGGATGGTTACCTGCGCTTCCTACGGGACACCCAAGCCTTTTAGCGGGTGTTTAGTTTGACCAAAACCAAACGGTGGACTCCTTAATTTACCAACAATCCTTCTCGTTGGACTTAAAGAAAATTAGACTAAGCATTCTCTCGGCGGATCACTTAGCAATCCTTGAAACCTGCATTGGTGTTTCTTGGGGTTGTGCTCGCTTGCTTTGGCTTTGGGTTAATGGTGGCATGTTCTCGGTGCGCTCAGAGTACCACTGGAAATGTTCCCATGGGGTGCCAAGTACTACAAGGCCTTCTTCCATACCTCAAAAAGTAAGAGAGTTCAGTTGGAATGAGGTATGGAAGATGCATATTCCACCAAAGGTTAAGTCCTTTTTGTGAAGGGCTCTTAAGGGTGCACTGGCTACCAAGTTAGCCCTGTTCAAGCATATCTCCTCCCTCTCTCTGATTTGTCCTATTCGTAATAGGGAGGATGCGTCTGTGGAACATATGCTTCTTTTTTGTCCGAGGGTTGGGCCTATTTGGTTTGGAGGCTTTCTTAACTATCGGGTTCCCAGAAGCCGAATCACTTCCCTTAATGGTTGGCTTCAAGCAATGGCTTCAATGCAGGCGAAGAACAAGGAGTAGAGAGGTAGGGTGTTGTCGGTGATAGGTTTTACTTTTGGGAGATTTGGAAGGCCCTCTGTGTTGCGACTTTTGCTCAAAAACCTCCTACTCCAAACCATGTTATTCACTCTATTACCTGTTTGCAGATAAGGAACACTTTTGTGGCTACTAATCTTAGAGCTTAGGTTCCTTCTTATCCCGATGATATCCCCAACAACCTGATGCTACTTGGACCCCTCCTCCTTCTCATTTTCGGCAAGTTAATGTAGATACCGGCTGGTGTGTGGTGACGAAGATGGGATTCTTGGGGATTGTTATCAGGGATCACTCTGGGTGTTCGTTGCAGCTCGGTGAAGCCCAATTTTGGCGTCCTCGGTGTTGGCTGTGAAGGCACTGGTAGTGGCTGGAAAGTGTTTCTTGGCTCGGGAACTGGGGTTTCCTAATATAATGGTTGAATCAAATTCGAATGAGGTTATCTCCTCTCTGCTGGGCTCAATTCACCTTGGCGGCTGGGAGGCTTTCCCGACCCTTGCGAGGGTTGTTCAGCTGGGAGAGTCCTTTCAAGCCTATCATTAATCTTGGGCTCCAAGAACAGCCAACTTGGCAGTAGACATGGTTACGTCGAGATCGTTTCAGCAGATGGATGCTGGCGTTTGGGTCGTGAAACCTCCATTTTCTTGGGTGCATCTATGACGTCTACCTTGTCCTCCTTCTAGTTAATCCCCCTGGATTGTTGAAGGGGTGACGCTATGCACTCAATGCAGCGTCTAGGTCTCTTTATCCCCTCAACAATCCAGTTGTTGTTTGTATTATGTTATGCTCTCTATTAGCCACATGTTTTCGGCTTTCTTTCTACTCAATTGGCTTTAGCCCTAGCAATGAATTTACCAATTTCACAAAACTAAAAATAAAAATTTAACCTCATTGATTGTTTCCCTCTTGTATCTCCCGAAAGAAAAAAGGAAGAGCTTCTAGTCGTAAGAGCAAGATATCAAATATAATACATTTGATACCTTCAGACTTCAATGTAGTTACAATCCAAAGTTAAATAACTTTATTTTACCTTCTTATCTAATTATTAGTAAGAGCATGGAAACGTTTACTGATCTACACATATAAAGTATACAAATATACAAATAAACACACACATTTATATAGCAAGATACTAGAGAGACCAAATTTTTAAATCATCTTTTGTAGACCACGTGATGTGCCGGTTGATGATTGGACTCCCTTTTTGATGATCTAAAGAAGAAATACTCCAATCATGAACCACCACATTATATGAACTACAAAAAATAATCTAAAAATTGGACATTCCTAGCATTTCCTTCATATATATATATAGGGAATTGTTATTGGCACTCCAAAAATCTCATTCTACACTCCAAACTTTCTATATTTGGAAAGCAAAATATACTTATGAGAAGTGTGGAATGAGATTTTTAAAGTACCAATAACACTTCCCTATATATATATATATATATATATATATATATATATATAATGATTTACAAAAATTAAAACCGGATCCGAACCCAACCAAACCGTGGCTCAGGCAACTTGATGCCCACCTCGTAATTTACTGTCTAAGGTCTTTGCCTCTTTGTCTTGGTTGAAGCAGTAAGCAGGTGCTTGAGTGACTGTATCTGGTAACACTGCACCAACCTCAAATGTCATTACCTGAGAAGATATTCCTACAAAATAATCATACAAATCATCAGCAGTAACATATTGATGACTATTTATTTGAGTCAGGTTAATTAATTTGTAATCTAAAAAGTTGCATTAAAATCAATACTTCATACTAACAGTCTAATAACATAACAAATCAAACTGTCAAACAAGATAAATTTTTTTTTTTTTTTTTTTCAAAAGTTAAAGCAATTTAATCGATATAACCGTTGATTTCGAACTCCCAAAATATAATTGCTAGGGAATTAAGAAGAATGGCATACATACATACCATCATAGAAATCCCAACGAACTGGCCTCTTGGTGTAAACATCCTCATAGTACCAAATAAAATCCACCTTCTCCCACACATTGCAAAGAAACCCATCTGTGACTTCCGTCCCTAGATACTCTGCTCCTTCAAGAAAATCGGGCCTCGGAATGCCGACTTCAAACCCCATAACCTCACAACTTCCGTTGTCACCGACGGTGTAGTAAAATGATGTGCCGTTGTTCCACTCTATGTCGTACAAAACCTCACCCAGCTGCTTCTGAAATATGTTGACGTTCCTGCCTCTCGGCCAGTCGTACCAGAGGTCGCTGAGCTGGAGGTGTGTTGTGGTCAAGTTCATGAATAGAAGTGCATGGAATTGCAGTGGCCATGGCGACGGTGTTGGGTTCGAGTTTGAGCAAGTCAGTACCTGCAGTATTATGCAGGTTGTTAAGCATAGTTGCAGTGGTAGTTTGAGCTCCTGCATCTTGTCTCTCTCTCTCTCTCTCTCTCTGTGCTTCTTGTGGTGATGTTTATCAACTTGTTTCGGGAAGGATAAAACACAACTGAACTGAGCGGTTGAGAAACAAAGGCAGTAGTACTGCACCTGTCCCACCTCATATATGTGTTTCATTGTGATCAGAATACAAGTGATAAATCATATGTTTTTGTTTAAGTAGTGGGAAATTTTATGTTGGGATTTTCTAACTTTAATCCTTGAAAAATATAGAAATTTAAAATAAACCTGATATTAGATTACATATTGATTATAGCTCCCTGATGTGTCCTTAATTCAAAATAATTAATGTGTATTTTATTCAATGTCTTCCATTAAATATTTAAATTTATTAATATACACATTTTAATATTTTTTTTGACCAAACCAAAGTTTTTTTAATTTATTAATTTAATTTAATATTCTTCAAACTTGAAAAACTTAATTAATGTACCTCAATGTTAGTACCGAAATGTATTATATTGAGTTAATGTATTTAAATGTATGTATACAAATATATGCACTAAAATATTAAACTAATGTTGTGACAGCCCGTCCCGAATTAATTGTACCGTAGGTGTGAAATGACGATAATGCCCTTGGTGGGTATTTGCCATTTTGGTGTGTTGTTTTGTTGTTTATGGTGATTGACTCTACAGAACACACACATACACCCATACCATACACTCCCGTGACTCCCTCTCTCTTCTTTCTCTCGGATTTTCTTCCATTTCCTTTGCAAGTGTACGGACGAACTTCAAAACCAACCTTTCACGCACGGATCGACGTCTAGAAGGTAAGATTCGAACTCCTTGCAAACTCTTAAGTTCATCCGTACCATTTTTAGAACTTGAAACCCTCGAAAACCCTAGAACCCGAGAACCCAATTTTCATGCATTGTTCATGCACTAATCATTGCGAAAGTTTCAGTGGATTTTAAGGTCTTAGGGAGCTTTAGAATACTCACAGGAAGCTCGGGGAACAAGTTTGAAGGATTTTGGACATTGGGATAGCAAGTTCTAAGGTTGGCCAAATTTTGCGAGGTTTCTCCGGCGAGATTTCATGAATTTCAGGGCTTGAAAGTGGTAAGGTTTTGTTCTACTTGTTGTAAGCTTCATTTTGGTACCAATTTCATGGAATTTGGTTGAGAAATGAAGAAGATATGAAGTTTTGAAAATTTTTCAGTTTCCGGCGAGAATTCGAGTTGCAGACAACTGCGCTGACGGCAGCGGCCAGCGAGACTCACCGGAGAAGACAAAGAATATTCTCTCAATTTTGACGGAATATACTAACGGCATTACTAACGGCATCAAGTATATATAACGGTATATTCCATTTTTGGAAAGAATATTTCCTAACACCATTAGGGTTACCATACGTGTGCCAGGCATGTGCCCACGCGTGGCCGGAGCGTCTGGCCATGCCTTGGCCGGCGCATGGGAGGTCAAAAAATTATTTTAAAAATATGGGGATGTTCGTGAGGTTGAGTAGATCACGTTGGTGTATCCAAACACCCCATTTGAGCATTGTATGAGAAGTTATTACCTAGTTTTGGTTATGTGCTTTAAATTGACTTTTTTATAGTTGTTTCGCATATAGGTGAGACTTATCTTGAGGACGAGCGCAGTCACTCAAGGCTCGGGGGTTACGACCCTTCCACATACCAGTGAGTGGGCTTTTGGTTTTCCGTATATACCTATATACTTGTGGGTTTTCCTAGAAAATGAAATTGAATGTTTATATGTTTTAAATACCATGCATAGTTTTTGCCTACTTTAATTATGCATTAGTAGTTGCATATATTTATGATTGGTGCTACGGACGCACAGGTGATGCGAGATTTATACGCACACAAATTAAACCCTCTTTTTGACAATTGTAGTAATGATATAAGTAGGGATCGTTCTGGACCGGGGATTAGGAGGGATTGTTAATCACTTGGATTTGACTCAAAAACGTAAAAACACAATATAAAACACTATACTAGACTCAAAGAATTCAAAAATACTTTAAAACATAAAATAAACAGATTCTAAGCATTAAAGAACAAGAAAGTAAAGGGGGGGTTTGATTTGACGAAAATTGAAATAACAAAACAAGTAAATAAACTAAGCAGATTGTAAAACAAATTTGGATTTAATGAATGGAATGAAGGCTAGCTAAGGGGTTCTTCTCCACACATGTTACACTTGCGTACAAGATTGATTCTCAGTTGGTCTTTCGATAAATTATGAAACTCAACACCCTGGGTCAATTAGGTTCGCTTAAATTAACCGTCATGTTTTCCTTAAGTTAATGAATTGGATGGGTTTGCGCAACGCAATTCACAACATTCTCCAAAAGTCCTTTACGTGAAAAGCACAATAAAGATACAATCAAAGATCATTAAGCATTATGAAAACTATAAGTGTTGACGAGGCATTCGTTACTATGATGAGCATGAAACTCGTGCCAAGAATTCATTTAACGCAATGGTTTATAAGCAACCTCCACTACTTGTGAATATAAGTTCATAACGATTAGGTGAAACTCACTTATATTCTAGCGTCATATTCATGCATGAAAATTAAGTGCGCATTCTCAATAAACATACATAAATAAGTTATCAATCAAACGGTTAAACAAATTGAATCCACAACTTATGAAATTCCAACCAAAGATAATCAATTCATATTGCAAGCATAAACATGTATTTCGAATCACCCCCTAGCTAAAGGGGGTTTAGTTCCTCATAACATTGAAATCAAAGAAACACCTAAACATTCCAACAACTCAAACTTGAATTGTATGAACGTTTAAGCACTCTTTTCTTCCATTCCTCATACGTACAAAACAAAGAGAATTGAATTTAAACATTGAAATCAAAGAAACACCTAAACATTCCAACAACTCAAACTTGAATTGTATGAACGTTTAAGCACTCTTCTCTTCCTCTTTGTTGTGGCACAAGGTCTAAGGAAATGTTTAGGGCTTTAGGTGTATGTGGAATGGAGTGGGGAATGGTTGGAGTGGCTGCAATGGAGGAGAAGAAATGGTGCAAAAATGGAAGGGGATTTGCATGGCAAGGGGAAGTGTTTGTGTTGTGTGTTGTGTTGTGAATGGAATGAATTATATTGTTGGGAAAGCATGTGCAATGGCTGGAAATGAATGTGTTTTGGACGGCACAAGGGTGGAAAATGAATGTGTGGCTGCATGGTTAAATGATTAAGAGTGAATGCATGTGAGTGACAACTAGATTTGCTTGGTGGAAAGCTGGAAATGAATGGGAATGTGCACGGCAAGGGAAATGGAGAATGAATGTGGCTGCATGGTTGAATGATTAAATGGTGCATGTGGGTTGGAAATGTGGCTGCAATGATGAAGTGGATGCATGTGAATGCAAAGGGAGGCCACGGCAAAGGAAAGTGAATGAATGTGTGGCTGATTTGTTTGTTGGTTAAAGATGCATGTGGATGAATTATACAATGGGAAAGTATGTGATTGACAACTAGGATGAATGGTGGCTGCAATGATGAAGTGTAATGGCTGAAAATGGGATGGATTTGCAAGGGCCACGGCAAAGAATGGGTTTGTGTGCATATGGCTGAAATTGGTGGGTTATGCATGGGTTAGGCCCTTTGTTTTATGTCCTAAGATGCATACAAGGCCTTCAATTTCATCCAACACTTGGGCTCCAAGCATAAGCTATCCATCCTTAGCCCAATAGTGCTCCAAAAGACCCCAAAACACTCCACAATGCATCCTTTCGTCAAACACGTCTTATGATCCTGAAAACACACAAAAGAAGCATAAAGGACTAAAATAACTAAAGAAACATAATGTAAATGTACGAGAACAAGCCATTTAAGTCGCATGAATATGCTCCTATCAACAGGTAAGTGCCAGGTAAGTTTATAGATTATGGTTGTGAATTAGTGGTTATGTGAGATGTATTGAGAGCTCATAAACCTACACCCCGGTGTTAGTGCTCACGCCCATTGTAGGGCACAGTCCTTCACATGATGTTCACCTCCCGTACCATATGCTCATCTTGGATCCAAGTTAGGTGCACAGTCTTATCGTCACTTTAGGTGGTTCCGACTCGTAGGTGACCTGCAATTATTCGCACAGTCTTCACGTGATCGTAGCACTTAAGCGTATTTATTTACACCCAGTCCTGTCGTACAGACCACTTTAGGTGGTTCCGACTCGTGTGCAGGTGTAGTGATTGAGTTGTGGATTTGAGCTCTAGATTCAGCCGTACAGGTCACATTAGGTGACTCCGACTGACATATATTTTGCATTGATTGACATTACCTAGGTTACTTACATCATATGCTGAATTAGTTGATATGGCTTACATACATACATATTTGTGAATGTTGCTACTCTGAGCATGGTTGTGATATATCTATATATTCTATTTTTTGGGAAATTATACAAGTTTTACGGAGAGGGGTTAGAATTTTTGAGAATGAAATGATTTTGAAAAGTTTTGTTTTTTCCCACTCACACTTTCTGTTTTGCACCCCTCCAGGTTCTAGTTAGAAGTGCTTTGGTGGCTCACGAGGACTTGACGGTGGTTCTGACAGAACATCACAAATGTAGGTTTAACTTTCGGTGTTATGTAATCAGTATTCATTCTTCTGGACTGCACTTAGGCTTTTTGGTGCTCTGATTATGTTTATCACACTTGATCTTACACTTGTGTATTACTTTAACTAGTTTATCTAGTGGTTTGGTTTTTATTTATTCGTAATTGTTTTTATTATCTTGCTTCCGCACTATGCACATGGCTACATCACCCTCACATGATGGCCAGCACGCCTTGATTTCGGTCGGGGTGTGTCAAATGTACCTAAATGTATGTACCGAAATGTCTTATATTAAACTACTGTACCAAAATATATTATATTGAATTAATATACCTAAATGTTTGTATCAAAATACATGTACTGAAATGTGTGCACCTAAATGTATGCACCGAAATGTATTATAATGAATTTAATGTACCTAAATGAAGAAGACAATGTATATCGAAATATATTGTAAAATAAAAATTAGTT